GTGTGTGTGTGTGTGTGTTTGTGTTTAGATTATAGAGACTGCCTTGAGAAGGAGAATGTCAGAAAATGCCAAAGCAATGAAACATATCAGATAGAGTAACATGTTGAAGCGATGAATGTGATCCTGAAGAACTATGCATTTTAATTGGACTGAACTAATCTTAAAGGACAGGAAAACTTTGTGAGCTTAAATGAAAATGGGAAGAAATATGCATATTTCATATTTGTCACAGGAAAGAAGTCATGCTGTAGTATGCGCTAGTATAAATGCAGTGTGAAAGCTACACAGTCTTGCTAAAGATGACAATCATAAGGAAAAGGAGTTAAGTTTTTATCTTTACAATTATTTTTTACACATTTGGAGACATGCATATATATATATATATATATAAAACAACACACTAGATTACTTGATTAATCCTTAATCAACATCTTTGATTTGCCGAAGGAAACAGTCCTGCTAAAGATGTCTATGGAAACACTGACCATTGTCTCCAGTGAACACTAGAGCAAACCAAATGTCACATGCAGGGATGATGAGTTCACAGTATTTCAAAGGGACGGAGAGGATCGCTTCATAGAAGTGAAGTGAAAGACATTATTAGTGTCAGTGAAGCTCTGGGCTGGTCTGAGCTGTAAAGGTGCTCAGACACTTCAAGGGAAGCAGCTTTAAGCAGAAAACATTAAACATAGAACATTAAACCACTGACACGTCAACAAGCTGTGCTGTCCTCCACACTGGAGCCAGGACATCTGGGGGGAAGTATGGTCAGTCTGTACCGTGACCTCCAGCTCACTACTTCACTTTTAACTTTGCCTGTACTAATGCACCCGCTGTCAGTGATGACCTGAAATATTGATTCATGAGGAACATATTAACATTGTGTTTGTGTTTAGGTCTATGTTCACTGATTGTAGTAGTGAATTGAAGCAGTATTTCTTTTAAAACACAGTGGTGAGACTCGTTTGGAAGTTTTGATTTTTTTTTTCTTTTTGTCTGTTCTTTGGCCCAAACATTTTCCCTTTTGACTTTATACTCAATCTAATATACTACAATCGAACGAGGTCCAGGTAAATAAACAAGCGTCACTCTGTTAACAACATGTGTGCTTGGATGGACCTCAAAACCACAAATAACTACAAATACTGGTGCATCTGTTGTTCCTCTGTTCTTTATAAAAAGGGTATTACACATTTATGGTATCTTTTTATTTCAGAGACTGAATCTCTTATATATGTCCATGTCATTAACCTTCAATAGAAAAGTGCTTTTATATATATATGTGTGTTTTTTTAGTTTTTGTGGAGAATGTAATGCTCTAAAGCCTTAATTTCATTTACTGAAGACCAAAATGTACTGAAATGTAAATGGCAGAAATTTTAATGTTAATCCTGTTCTATTGTTGTCGTGCGTCACCCTGAAGCTCACAGTTAATGTCAGTGAACCATCCTAACCTGTCACATATCTATGGGAAACTCAAGAGACCCTTTGGAGGACAAAACACCATTGTAGAGATGCTGCGGGTCGATGATTCTCTGCAGAACTGGGACACTCTACCTCAGATATTGTGAAAGAGTAGAACTTCCCCATCCCGGACCGTCCTGTTCTTCCATCAGAGGCGCTCCCTCTGTGTTTGTTTTTGAGCAGTGTGACTAGAGAAAAGCAAATAAACCACAAAGTCTTAGAAAATGATTTCACTGCCTGTGGCTTTGCTCTTTAATGAAATATCTTATTTTACTTGTAAGAAACTTAGGCAACGTTTCTCCTTTAAATCTATATTTTTATTATAAATCACATGAGTTGCCTCTCTTTTCAAGCCTCTTTTTTAAATGAAATGTATGACTGTTTAAAGCACACTCGTGTTCATACTTTATTTGTAGATTGATTCAAATTTGTGATATTGACCAATGAGAGCCTCAAGTAACTTCTTGTAATAGAAATTACTTAATTTGTACCTCTGAATTTTGATTGTAAACTTCTTTGTTTTATCACGCTCACTGGCTAACTGTCCTGTATCTGCTTCTTGAAGGGATCTGTGCCATCCAAAGAAAAAGTGCATGATCTAGTGTTTTTATTATCTAGATATGGTTTTAGTTCACATCTTTAAGAAGAAGAGCTTTATGAGTCTGCCTTGACATTCAACGTGTTTCTGTGTTAATCGTGACTTAAAAGGAACATGTGGCAAACAGGATTCCTGTGCCATGTTTGGCTTTTTGGATGAGCTTATGTGACTCAGTGTTTATTAACATTTTATTGTTTGCATTTATTATTTTGGCTCGATCACGTCCAATCCAACCACTGGATTTGTTCAGAACTTCTCTTTATGTGTATGCACATTGTTTTTTGCTGCAAGTGCAAATAGTTTTCCTTCCTCAAAATTTTACTGCAGCTTTGCTTTTTCCATCCTGTTTGTGTCATTTCTGTCGGCTCTCTTCCCTTAATGCTCAGTTTGGTATATTGTTTGCTCTCTATTGCATGTGGTTGATTATTCATTTCTCTCATGAGTGAACTAAATATTTTCTATCTACTGCAGGATGTTTGGTGAGCTGCAGTATATGCAATTTATGTAAACATAATCAGATTTCAACATTTTCAAGACAGTAAAAAAATGTTTACACTTTTGGTGACTTTCTGTGTAATGTGTTCTCGTGTGGCTGGTACAGGATGAACTTCACTGAGCTTCATTTATTGAACAGTTCATAGAACTCTAGCTGAAATGTTCATGATGCGTCCCTACAAGGCAAACAGGCTGAAAGAATGACGATGATGAATGAACTACAGCGTTCTGGTCTCTGACATTAAGTGAGTAGATGATGAATTAAGGGAATTTGTGAGGCAGTTATGTCTGATGGAACAAACTCAGAGAAAATAGTCACAATATGCTTGACAACCCAGGTAATGATGATCAATATCTGAAAGAGCCCTACAGAAGACGACCATCGATATGTTTCCATTCTACTCATCATCGCATTTGATTCATCTGACAGATGATTCGATGTAAAGCCACGTTTAGAGTGTGCAGACCCAAATCATAATATACTTTATCTCAAGGCACTTTACACAGAAGGTCAAGAACTTAGGTTGTAGTGTTTGTATCCCCCTCTAGAGGGCGCCATTTCCTCGGCTTGCCCTGGATCCTTTAGTTTTGGTTTGAATCATAGACTGTATATAAAGGTTTGAATGCGTCAGCTGGATCAGAGAGGAAGCGAAAACAAGAGGTCTCCCTCTGCTCTAATTTCAGGATACCAAAGGGTTGTGTCACACACAGTGTCACATGACATGAGTCATAGAGGAAGCTGCTGTGTGTTTTCAGATTATT